TGTGTCTTCGGATAAGGAGGCATGCAGTGTCTTGCTGATGAGCAGGGCTCTACTCCACATCCCTTCATCTTGGTCTTCCTGTTCCAGTGTCCCATCACTGGTCAGGCTTCAGCTGGGGGAGGATGTGGGACTAATCATCAGGAAGAAATGGCAGCCTAGAACTGTCTCATTTGCTTGAGATCTAGATGAAAACTTGTGCAATTATATCTCTTTTTTTAAAAGTACCCATGCCTTTATAAATTACACCCAAGGTCAAAATATAGTTCAGAGCAGATAGAATTTAATCTGGTATGTTCATTTGTCATGAAAAGGTAAGCAGCTCAGAAAAAGTTCGAAGCCCAGGGGAGCTCTTGCCTGTGGCAGCCTCAGGACCACTTCTGTGCTTACACTTGACTACTTGGACTTTTCAAGTTCACAAAACTTGGTTCTTTAGCTGTGAAGGTTGATAGAGGCTGGATATTCTGCCCCAAATCCCTAAGAGTAGACATCCTAATGGGGTGAGGTGATATCTTACTGAGCCTTTGATTTGCATTTCTCTAATGATTAGAGAAGTTAATGACTAAATCTTGATGATTAGTGATATTTAATGTCTATTAAAGTCCTTTGGCTGTTTTTAAAATTGAGTTATTTGATGCTGAGTGGCAGGGAGTCTTTATATATTCTATATATTAATTAGCCCATGGCCAGATGTATTATTTGAGAATTTTTCTTGTATGAGTTTTTTTTTTTTTCATTTAGGTTTTACATTTAGATCCTCACTTCTTTGTTCTTTTATCCAACATGAGATATTCTTTTTATTAATGAAGTTGAACTTATAGTAGACAATGTTAGGAAACAGCACAAATAGCCAGGACAAGTACAAATACAAAATAATCTATAGGACAAGCACAGAAACCAAACCTTTCAATGGGAACCATGGGAAGGGCCAGGGAACCCTAGGATAAAGCAGGGTTCACCCAAACCAAAAGGCCAGCTGGCTCCCATGGCTGAACACCAAAATACATAATGGCTAAGCCCCTTTGGCAGGAGACCCAATTATTTGAGAAGAGAATGACAACAGGAACATTTGTGTGAGACTGGGGACAGGTTGGACTTGCTGCTACCACACAATCTTGGTCCATGGCACAAAATGGCAGGGCAAGCTGGTGACAGGCAAGTCTCTTGAGAGAGATTTCACCAGAAATATGGATTACAGATTTTGAAAGATCACATATTTAAGCCTGCTAAATCACATTCCATGAGGAACTACATGTTACCAAACTGTCAAATGATCACTATACAAAATATTCTCCCTGGGCTTAAACAGAGAACATTAACATCCATTTTACCAATAATGGAGAAAAAGGGATTTTGTCATATCATAGGACATTGAGGGTAAGGTGGATGAGCGAAATGACAAAAAAAAGCACAGAAGTGGGTTAGAGACGTGGTTCAATAGTCGAGTACCTGCCTTGCAAGTGCAGGCACTCTACCCTAGTACTGAGTTCAAATCCTAGTACTGAACACAAAAAAGTACAGAAGTCCTTTATATTAATACAGTTTGATTAAGATTAATACAGTTTGAGTAAACTAGAAAGATTTTTTTAAAAAGAAAACAAATCTGATGAACCTAAATCTGATTATTTCTCACTGGTTTTTGGCTCAGTGGGTATCATCTTTTTTTTTTGCAGTACGGGGGGTTTGACCTCAGGCTTATACCTTGAGCCACTCAACTAGCACTTTATAAGTGAATGTTTTTTCGAGATGGGGGTCTCGCAAACTATTTGCCCAGGCTGGCTTTGAACCATGATCCTCCTGATCTCTGCCTCCTGAGTAGCTAGGATTACAGGCATGAGTCACTGGCACCCAGACTATTGATTCCATTCTTGACTCAATCATCTACTTGCTCTATGGAAATTTCTGCATTTTTCCAATGACACACTTACTAATCAAATGGTATATATTTTTCACTATAGCCTACCTTCACTGACCAATAATTTTGCCAATATTTTTATATGGTTAAAACATACTAGGTTCAGTCATAACATATTTTTTCCTCTCTGGGAAGAAACATGACAAGAAAAGGGGATGGATTAAATTGCATATCATTCTTTAGTCATTTAAAAAACTCCTTCCTCAAGGGTGAAAATACAATCATTAATAACTTAAGTTAAAGATAAGCCCCAGTATGCTGGGCACCAGTGGCTCATGTCTCTAATCCTAGCTACTTGGGAGGCTGAGATTGGGAGGATCACAGTTCAAGGCCAGCCTGGACAAACAGTTTGGGAGACTCCATCTCCAAAATAACCAGAGCAAAATGGGCTGCAGGTATGGCTCAAGCAGTAAAGCACCTGCTTCACAAACATGAGACCGAGTTCATACCCCGGTCTCACCAAAAAACAGGAAAAATAAAAAAGCGGAAGGAAAATCCAGATAAACCTCAGCATATAAATGATTTTAGAAAAAAAATTAAAAGTCCTATCTGAGATGAAGTCAGGCATCACTTGCTAACCCTAAGGAAATTCGATACCTAATATGAGAGATGGTGGCAGAAGGGGGCCAGTGAGGTGGGCAAGGGTCACGATCAACACAGATACCTCCTCACACTCCCACTTAGCATTAGCGATGCTGCCCCTCATGCTTTAACATTGTGGGCTTTAAGATGTCAACACTTCTATCCTTTTTCAGGTCTGTGTAGTTTGTCAAAATCTGATAAACAAAAAGAGGTTTTTTTCCTTTTTTTTTTTTTTTTTTGGTGGCCCTGGGGTTTGAACTCAGGTCCTCATGCTTGCTATGCAGATGCTCTACCACTTGAATCACTCAGCCAGCCATTTTTTCTGAAGAGTTTTTTCAAGATAAGGTCTTGCTAACTACTTGCCCAGGCTGGCCTTGAACCGCCTCCTGGATTACAGGCGTGAACCATCGGCCCCCGGCCGCCTCCTGGATTACAGGCGTGAACCATCGGCCCCCGGTGGCTTTTCCTTTTTGAACAAGAATAAAGAAGATAGAAGTCACTGACTGCTGAAGATTAGTGCTAATATCACTAGGTTGAGCTCACATGACTTTTACAGCTGTGCCCCTCCTACCACACCCCACTGCCAAGATCCTCACTTCCTTTACTCTAAACCAAAATGTCGCTTGACAGTTTGAGATTGTAACAAAAGAGATAGGCTTTTTCTTTTTCTTTTTTCTCCTTTTTTTGAGGGGAGAAAAGATAAATTAGATGATAGAATATAATGTAAGATTCAGGGAAGAAAATGGAAAGACTCAGTTTATAAGAATAATTGTGGTAAAATACAGGTAAGATGTGCCATCTTAACCACACGTGTAGAGCTAGGTGGAATTGAGTGCAGCCTCATTAGTCACAATACTGCAGTCATCCATTTCCACTTCTCTTTTCATCTTGCAGAACTGAAACTCCGTACCCATGAAACACTAACTGCCATTGGACCTGTCCCTCCAGCCCCAGGACCTCATATGAGTAGAATTACACAGTATTTGTCCTTCTGTAACTAGCTTATTTCACCTCATAATGACTAAAGTTTCATTCATGTTTTAGCACGTGACAGAATTGCCCTCCTTTTTAAGGTGGATTAACATTCCACCACATGTGTTTATCCATTCATCTACAGAGGGACCTTTGGGTGCTTCTGCCTCTTGGATATTGTAACTAATGGGAACGTGAGTGTGTAACTATCTCTTCAAGACTGTTTTCAACGCTTCTATTTATGCCCAGAAAGGTGGTTGCTGGGTCATGTGACAGCTCTGTTTTTTAAAGAACTTCCCACAGGAGTTGCACTACTTCACAATCCTACCAACAGTTCACAAAAGTTCTAATTTCTCCTCATTCTCACCAACACTTGTGATTTTTTCTATTATTATTGTTTTTTTAATAGTAGCCATCCTAATGTGTGTAAGATGAAACCTCACGGTGGATTTGATTTGTATCTCTCTGATTATTAGCAATGTTAAAAAGCCTCTTCCCATATGCTTGCTGGATGTTTGTATATCATCTTTGAAGAAATGTCCATTAAAGTCCTTTGACCTTTTTTTTGGATTGGGATATTTGATTTGGTTGAGTTTTAGTTCTCTATATACTCTAGCTATTATCCCATGATTAGATATATTATTTGAACATGTTTTCTTCCATAAGTTTTAATTTTTCAGGTCTTATATTTATGTCTTTAATCCACATTGAGTTAATTTTGTATATCAGATAAGGTTAGGGTATAACTTCATTCTTTTGCATGTAGATATACAGTTTTCCCAATACTCTGTTGGCAAGACTGACCTTTTTTCACTCAATAGTCTCCTCACCCTTGTTGAAAATTATTTGACCAAAAGAGTTAATGTTTATTTCTAGGCTCCCTATTCTCTTTCATTAGTTCATTTGTCTGTCTTTGTGTAAATACTACACTGTTTTAATTATTGCAGCTTTGTAGTAAGTTTTAACATAGGAAAGTGCAAGACCTCCAACTTTGTTCTGCCTTTTCAAGGATATTTTAGCTACTGAAATAGACTTTCATATTTCTGCAAAAAATGTTATTGGGATTTTAATAAGGATTGAAATGACTGAATCTGTAGATCACTTTGGGTAGCATGATGTCTTAACAATATTAAATCTTGGACAGATCAAGTTTTTTGCCCAGTCATTTGCTCTCTTCATTGTTCCCTCACCACTGTCCCCTTCTGTATGTATATTAAAGGGACAGTTCTAGAATGGTGATGAAAAACTACAACTTCTAGTCCTCGGGCTACAGGTTGGTTGAAACCATTCTCAAGAGTATGGCCACACAGCTAGACTTTGGAAACCAGCTTTACTACTCTATCCTTAGCCTGATTCTCAGAAATTCTACTACTAGAACTTGTTTGAGAAGCTAGCCTTTCCGAACTGTGGTTGGTGAAGCCAGATGTTAAATCCCACATTGAAATGGAATAAAATACCCAGTCTGGGTGAGGCAAATGGGCTCTGCTTTTTCCATCATTTATCATATTCTTGTTCTAAATGATTTGTTTTATAGATATATCTTCACTGGGATTTATATTTTGGAAGCTATGGTAAAAATATTGGCAAGAGGTTTTATCCTGGATGAGTTTTCTTTCCTTCGAGATCCCTGGAACTGGCTGGACTCCATTGTCATTGGAACAGCGTAAGAATACTAAGGATTTTTGTTGGAGAGACTGGGGGTGGGAAAGAAGTTCCTTTGCTTCCCCCAGGGCTTCGGTGTGGGTCCATGCAGTGACTGAGGTGGCCTAGTGATGCCTTGACCTCTGAGTGCAGCACTCATCAGTCCTGAACAGCACTGTGCAGCCAACTGACCAGTGGCCTCCAGGCACAAATCCATTCCTTCAGCCATTCACTCACCAACACTGGCATCTTATGGGCCAGGCTCTGTGTAAGATACAGGGATTGTGATCATGGAAAAAAAAAGGCATGGTTCTCACCCTCATGAAGCTCATAGTCCCGAGGGGAAAAGAGATAATTAGTGACCTTTCCAATATGGTTTGGGGAGTAGCAGGACAGGAGTACACATGTGAGGGACTCTCAGAACATGTAGAAGGAACTAAAGACTCTCAAAGAAAATGATTAGCTGTATAAGTTCACAAAATGTTTTCCCCATGGTTACTTCTAGAAGTTTCATAGTTTGGGCTTTTGTGTTTAAGTCCATGGTTCATTTTGAGTTATTCAAAGCCTTATAGCATGACATGAGGGCTGAAGTTTTTCCAGAAGAAAAGGACACTGATTTGGCACATGAACAATGAGACCGAGTCACCAAAATAAAAATCAAGAAAAGTGATAGACCATTGCCAGTATAGCAATAATGAACCTAACATTCTGCATTTGTGCCAAACATTGTGTTTAGCCCTTGGCCTCAATTTTCCTATTTAATATTCACAAAGCCCTTAGAGGTAGGTGCTATTAATTTTAGAGTTTTACCTTTAAAGTTCAACATTTATGTGCTCTTGGTTATTGAAGGATGGTGTAACTTGGTGTTAAGAGTGTGCACTCTGGAGTCAGACTCCCTGAGTTCATGTTCAGGCTTGGCCACAGAGACCTTTGCAAAGTACATTGAGGCCTGGAAACTGGCCAGTCAGTAAATGTTTATGAGGATTTCTAAATATCCGTGGATAATTTCAAGAAATCCTCTTCTATGTGTAAAGATGCACTGAGAACAGTCTCCTGGGCAATTCAAGGTCGAAAGCAGTGAACAGTGACCTTGCCATGTTCTGAGATGAGGCGAGGTTGCAGATCACCCCTAGTAGGCACAGGCTCCAGACCATGCTTCCTCTGGTCTTCGTGAAGATGAGCAGTACAGAGCTGCACTGCACAAGCCCAGGTTTTCCATGTGTTTTGCCTTGTAGGGTTGCAGCTTATTTTCCATTTGCCAAAATCAATCTGCTGTCTCTGCGTACCTTCCGAGTGTTCAGAGCTTTGAAAGCAATTTCGGTAGTTTCAGGTGAGTCACTTTCATTACTGGCTTTTAGTTGGAGAGAATGTTCTTTTATATTTAAAAATTTCAGAACGTCATCATGGAAACCTAATCCAAACACACCCAGCCTTACTCATCACTTGATTGTTTAGCCAATAATTACTGAGCACCTAACATGTCTGGGCACTGTGCTAGCTTATGTAGGGTCTATGAGTGAGGTAACAAAGACCCTACCCTCCCTGGCCCAAAAGACCAAAAATCATATGTTCTCCCTCATATGCGGACATTAGATCAAGGACAAACACAACAAGGGGATTGGACTTTGAGCACATGATAAAGCAAGAGCACACAAGGGAGGTGTGAGGATAGGTAAGACACCTAAAAAACTAGATAGCATTTGTTACCCTCAACACAGAGAAACTAAAGCAGATACTTTAAAGCAACTGAGGCCAATAGGAGAAGGGGACCAGGAACTAGAGAAAAGGTGAGATCAAGAAGAATTAACCTAGAAGGTAACTCACACGCACAGGAAATTAATGTGAGTCAACTCCCTGTATAGCTATCCTTATCTCAACTAGCAAAAACCCTTGTTCCTTCCTATTATTGCTTATACTCTCTCTTCAACAAAATTAGAGATAAGGGCAAAATAGTTTCTGCTGGGTAGTGAGGGGGTAGGGGGAGACAGGGAGGGGGTGGGGGGGTAAAAGAGGGGGTGGGGGAAGGGGGGAGAAATGACCCAAACATTGTATGCACATATGAATAAAATAAAAATTAATTAAAAAAAAAACAGAGACCCTACCCTCGTGGAGCTTATATTTCTAGGTTGGGGATGAGAAAACAGACATGAAGCAATAACTGTGATAAGCAAGGAAATTATGTAGCATATTAGAACCTGCTTTGTGCTATGGAAAATTAAAAGATGAAACACAGACAACTCAGTGAGGGCTTTGGGAGGTTACTGAGGATGAGGGAAGCAGGTTGCAAATTTAAGTGCAGTGGTCAGGACAGGTGTCATTGGGAAGGTGAGAGGTAAGCAAAGATGTGACAGTCATGAGGGAGTCAGCTGAGCAGATAGATGGGAAAGAGTGTTAAAGGGTAGAAAACAGCTTGTGCAAAGGCTGGGGACAGCCAGGCCGCAGGTGGAGCCAGAGAGGTTGGGTGGGGGAGTTGGGATCACAGAAATACAGGGGAGGGAGGCTTGTAGGCATGGGGAGGACTTCACTCTGAAGAAATGGGGGCTGTTGTGTAGAGAGAACTCAGAGGAGCTCAAGAAGCAGGAAGACCAGGGAGGAGACATGGTGGTTACCATGGAAATATGCTTCTGATCTCCTGCAGAGAGTGTAGTTGACTAAAGGTGTCCCCTCCCCTCTCTTCAGGATCTTCCTCATCTTCCCCAATAGCTCCCTTTCTAGATTCCACATATGAGAGAAAACATGTGATATTTGTCTTTCTGAGTGGCTTATTTCCCTTAATATGATCTCCAGTTCCATCCATTTTCCTGCAAGCGAAATGATTTTGTTCTTCTTTATAGCTGAATAATGCTCCATTAGGTATACATACCACATTTTCATTGCCCATTCATTCATAATGGGCACCTAGACTGATTCCATAACTTGGCTATTGTAAATAGCACTGTGATAAACTTGGGTGTGCAGGTGTCTCTATTGTGTGCCGACTTAGAGTCCTTCAGTATATGCCCAGGAGTGGTGTTGCTAGGTCGTAAGGTAGGAACCTCCACACTGGTTTCCATGGTGGCTGCACCAGTTTACAGTCCTTGCATCCTTGCCATCACTTGTTGTTCTTTGCTTTCTTGATGACAGCCATCCTGACTTGGGTGAGATGGATCCTCAGTGTTCTTTTGATTTGCATTTCCTCTATGGTCAGGGATGTTGAGCATTTCTTCATGTGTTTATTGCCCATTTGTGCTGCTTCTTTAGAAAAGTATTCAGTTCATTTTCTCATTTATTGATTTATTTGTTATTTTTACATTTAAATTTTTGAGTTTTTTTCTTTTTTTTAGATATTCTACATATTAACCTTCTATTGGATGAATAGCTGGCAGATTTTCTCAGGACCTTGTGTTTGCTAGGCACTTGAGCATTTTTTGCTTTAGCTATCTGTCAAATAGGGTTTTATGTTTTTTCCCTGGTTTGGGCTCAGACTGCAGTTCTCCTACCTATGCCTCTACATGGCTGAGATTACAGAAGTGAGCTACCATGCTCAGATTGTGTTTTTGAGACGGGGATCTCATTAACTTTTTGCCTGGGCTGGTCTTGACTTGTTATCCTCCTGATCTCTACCTTCTGAATAGCTGGGATTACAGGTGTGGGCCAGCATGCCCAGCCTCAGAAGTGTTTTTATTCAACACAATTCCATTTGTCAGTTCCTGCTGTTATTTACTGAGTTACTGGAGTCCTTTTTAGAAAGCCATCGCCTAAGCCTATGTCATCCCCCATGGTGTTTTCCTATAGTAGTTTCAAAGATTCAGGTCTTACATTAGGTCTTCAACCGTTTTGAATTGATTTTTGTACGGGAAGATGATAGGGATCTAGTTTCAGTTATCTGCATGTGGATATCCATTGTTCCCAGCACCATTTGTTAAAGAGGCTGTCTTTCCTTCAGTGTATGTTTTTAGCACCCTTGTCAAGATCACAGCTGTAGCTGTGTGGGTTTATTACTGGGTCCTCTATTCTACTCCATCGGTCTGGGTCTGCTTTGGTGGCTGTGCCACGCTGTTTCTGTTACTGTGGCTCTGTAGTATGGTTTGAAGTCAAGTTTTATGATACCTCCAGCATTGCTCTTTTATTTATGATTGCTTTGGCTTCCCATATTCATATTCATTGTGCTTCCATATGAATTTTAGGATTGCCTTTTCTATTTCTATAAGTGATGTTATTGGAATTCTGATAGAGATTGCATCAAATCTGTAGCTCACTTTGGTAATATGGCCATTTTAGTATTAATTCTACCGATCTACAAATACGGAGGTTGTTTTCATCTTCTAGTGTGTTCTTTGAATTCTTTCTTCAATGTTTTATGGCTTCTCATTGTAGAGGTTGTTCACATCCTTGATTCGATTTACTCATAGATACTTTACTCTCTATGAATAAAGAGTATGGGAGTGGGATGGTTTTCCTAATTTCTTTCTTGGCAGGTTTGTTATTGGTGAATAAAAAAGCTACTGACTGTTGTGTGTTGACTTTGTATCCTGACACTTTGCTGAATTTGTCTACTAGGTCTCAAAGCCCTTTGATGAGATCTTATACATAGGGATAATTTGACTTCTTCCTTTCCCGTTTGTATCCTCACCTTTTATTTCTTTCTCTTGCCTTACTGCTATGGCTAAAATTTCACGTCGTGTGTTGAATAAGAGCTGTGAGAGTGGATGCCTTTGTCTCATTTCTGATTTTAGAAGAAATGGTTTCCATTTTTCTCCATTTAGTGCTGTGTTGGCTCTGTGTTTGTTATATACAGCTTTTCATTATGTTGAGGTATGTTCTTTCTTATCCTTGTTCCTTCAGGGCTTTTGTTGAGGGGAAGTTGACTTTGGTCAATTGCTGGCCCAAAGTCTATTTAGATGATCATGTGATTTTTGTCCTTCATTCTATTTGTGTGTTGTATTACCCTTATTGACTTGCATATGTTAAACATTTGTGGCATTCCTGGAGTGAAACCAGTTTGATCATAGTATATGACCTTTTCATATATTATTGCATTTAGTTTGCAAGTATTTTGCTGAGGACTTTTTTTGTCTATATTAATCAAGGAAACTGATCTATTGGTTTTCTTTTCTGATCTGTCTTTATCTGGTTCTCACAGAAGTCTGTGCTGGCTTCACAGAACGAGTTTAGAGGTGATCCTTCCCTTTCTATTTTATGGAATAGTTTTAGAAGTATTGCTGTTAGTTCTTCTTTAAAGAGTTGGTAAAATTCAGCAGGGAATACATCCATTCCTAGAATGTTCTTCATTGGGAGACAAATTTTTAATACTGTATCAATCTCATTACTTTTTGTTGATCTGGTTAAGTTTTTTTATCCCTTTGGTTCAATTTTGATGGGTCATATGCATCTAGAACTACATCCATTTCTTCTAGGCTTTCCAACTTCTTAGAGTATAAGTTTTCAAAATAATCCTAATGATCCTCTGAATTTCAATGGTATCTATTGCAATATCCCTTTTATCACCACTAATTCTGTTAATTTGGGTCTTCTCTCTCTTTTGGTTAGTTTGGCTAAGGGTTTGCCAGTCTCGTTAATCTTGTTTCATCAATCCTTTGTATTAATTTTTTAGGCTCTATTTCATTAATTTTAGCTTGGCCTTTATTATTTCTCTTCTACTGCTTTGGGTTTGGCTTGTTCTTCTTTTTCTAAGAACTTGAGGTGTATCTATAGGTTATTTATTTGAGATTTCTTTGATTTTTTTAATATAGGCATTCCAGCTATATTATTTCTTCTTATAGGAAAGTTCCCAGAGGTTCTGATATACTGTGTTTCCATTTTCATTGGATCCCAGGAATTTTTAAATCCCCTTCCCAATTTCTCCAATGACTCAATGATTGTTCAAAAGCATATGGTTCAATCTCCATGTGTTTATAGTTTCTATTGCTTTTGATTTCAACTTTCATTCCAAAATGATCTGATAAGATGCAAGAAATTATTTCAATATTTTTGTATTTTTAAAATTTTTTGGTGGTAATGGGGTTAGAACTCATGGCACCATACTTGCTAGGTAAAGTGCTCTACCACCTGAACCAAGTCCCCAGCCCTGTATTTGTTTAAGACTTGTTTTATGACCTAAAATGTGACCTGTCTTGCAGAAGTTCTATGGGTTGCTGAGAAGAATGAAATAATCCTTGTATGTTTGCTTAATCCATTTGATCTGTAGTGTAGTTTAACTCTGATGTTTCATTGTTGATGTTTTGTCTGGATGATCTATATAATGGTAAGAGTGGTCTTTTAAATCACCCAGTATAATTTTAATCAGCCTGTCTGTCCCCATATGTCCAGTAATATTTGTTTTATGAAATT